ACTGATTCCTCTCTAAAATACACCTCAAATCTTCCTCATCTCCCCTGCTTCCTGGACACCCCAGATTCTTTGCCTGTGTTACCACGAAGGCCTCTTTGTTACTTATTTTTTCTGTTCCTTTGCTCTTGCCTTTCTTTCCATTTCACACATGGAAGAAAACAGTGACCTACTCATAGTCCAGCCAGACGGATGTAAACCCTCCTCTGCTCAAAACCAAGTCATTCCACCACTGCGCCCAGGTTAAAGCAGGCCTTGCCGGTTCCATCCTGGGGGCCGAGCCTCGGTGGGGGCTCCTCTCCTACGCTGCCTGCTCGGGGCGATCTTGCGGCTTTATCAGTGCTGGGGAGCCCTCCTCCCTCACTCTTCTTCACTCCTCCCTTTCCTTGGAGGCTCTTCCCCAATCTACCCCCCCCTCTAAAACAAACGAATGAAGGAATAAATAAACAATACACGGTGAATTTAAACATATTATTAAATAATCAAGAGATTCCAGCAAGTACATCTGGGTGGCCATTACTCAGCACTATTTGATTACAAATTTTTGTTATATTTGCTTCAGGTTTTTCTTAAAGAAATAAACCACTCCGAACCTACGGAAGCCCCAGGTGCACTCCCCTAATTCTAGTCTCCTCGCTCTCCTTCCAGGAGCAACCCCTGCATTATTTCACACCCTACACACACACACACCCTACACACACACACACACACACACACACACACACACACACACACGTGTGCCCCCGGCGACCCACAGCCAGCGCTGGGCGTCCCCCGCTCTGGCTCTGCACTGCCCAACCCGTTTCCTCGGCGGGGTTTGTGAGGTGGATTCAGGCCGGCAGATGCGGCTTTCGTTGTCATTTTCACTGGGGCACTGTATCAGAGGTCTAACTCCACCTGCCTTCCTAGTGACGGATGGTGGTACCCTTGGGTGTGGATTGTTGGCCACTGTGAACTATGCTGCTGAGAACATTTGTACGCATCTCCTTGGGCACATGTTTGAGCGTTTCTCTAGGGTAAAGCCTTAAAAATAATCTCTGAATAATAAAATATGTGTCTCTTCAACTTTGCTAGATAATGCCAGATTGCTCTTTGAAATGGTCGAGCATTTCTTCTCAAAGGCAGCGTGGGGGAATCTCCGCCTCCTTCCCGAAGGAAGGGCACCGCTGTTCCGGCCACCAGGGGGCGCCAGGCAGCATGCGGGACTCGCCTCTGGTTTTGTCAGGGGATCCCCTGGTGGTTGGGTGCACGTCAGGGTGCCACAGGCGCCTGCACAACTGTCCCAGACCCTGGGTCGCTGGGAGATGGGGATCTAATCTTCCTGTCCCCCAACTCTTATAAAATTTGAAAGCAATGCAAAACAAAACTTTCCTCGTGTTGATAGAAAACTAAGAAGAGTTTACATCGCTAAAATGAACATCTACGTATATGTTTGAAATCCAAAATATACAAACTTAACATTTTCCTTTCACATATCTATTTGCTGTGGATGTTTCGTTTACGATATAAAGCAGTTCTTGCTGGTTTTTTCTTACCCCTCCTTCTGGGAGGCAGCTGAAATCCTGAGTTTGGTGGGTGTCCAAACTACTTATTTTTATAACATATGTAAGTCTCCATAAACAACTTGTAGTCCTGTTTATTTTTATTCTGTATTTAATATTCTGCAAGTTTCTTTCCTACCTACCCAGTGTTGTTTCCAAAACACATCTATATTGGTGTTGGTATCTCCAATGCACTATTTTCCTATTTTCCTAAAAGTATCTTTTTAGATTGTTTGCAGTTTCTGGCTAAACGATGGTGCATGTACATTCTGTGAGGGCAGAAGTTTTTGTCTCTTGTTTATTCTCAAATTTTAGTCCCTGGAGTTTGGTCTGGCACGTAGTAGGTGCCAGTAAATATGTAGTGAGTAAATGAATAAATGAACAGCTCCATACATGTCTTTAAGATGCTCAACTGCAGAACTTGTCTATAAATATTCATATATATGTATATGAGGTGCCTGGATTTTGGAAGTCTTCATTCTCCAAAGCTATTGTACCAACTACACGTCCCTAGCACTTTGAGAGTTCTGGTTTCCCCTTACCTTTAGTATTTTGAGATTTAGTGTACGTCCAATACTGCTGTATATGAAATCGTATCTTATTGCTGTTTTAATTTGTGTTTCTCTAATTCCTTTCTGATTTTCCTCACTTGAGATTCCCCTGGACTTCCTTGTGGCAGAAGTGGTTGAGGAGGATGGAGGGGCACTCCAAGGATGTAGCCTGGCTCCTGCATGCATCCCCAGCCTCTCTTCCTCCTTGGAGAGGTTTGAGAACATGCGCCAGGGCAGTTCTAAGGGCCCCAGGTCTGAAGAACACAGTGTGCAGACCCTGGGTCACCCTTCCTTCCCAGTCCCACTTTGAGCTCTGAAGCCCTTGTTGCAGGATGGGGGAGGCTCTATGGGCGCCCACACTGGTCTGTTATTCTTTAGGTCTTCAGCTGAAGAATGCCAGCCAGGCGAGCTCTAGGTTCAGGGGTCCTGGTGTTTGCAGCTGCCTTGATTGCTCCAGAGATCCTGCATATAACCATGGGGCAAGTGGTCTTTTGTGTTGGCAACATGCCTCCCTTTACAGGAAAACATATCACCTGGTCTATTTGGCTCCTCTGCACTTGGAAACTGGCCACTCTTTGGAGAAAACAGATTTGAAGGTAAGGGGACAGATGAAAGGGGAGAGGGGGTGAAAGTGGGAAGGGTAACTGAGCTAGAAGGCTTGGGTAATCAGGGCACGCCCCAGTCGTGGGACAGCGGGGAGGGATCCTGGAACAGCAGACAGCACCAGGGGTCACTGCCCCTGAAGATATTTAAATCAGGTCAACTGAGATAAAATGTGACACCAGTGAATCAGGCAAAGCAGTGGGCGCAGGAGCCAGTGCCAGCTGTCATCTGAAAGGCAGATATTTCTGGCACATAGGGATGACACTCACTTGAGATCCTTTCCCATTTGAAAAGCATTAAAAAATCATAACTTGCAAGCCCAGAGGGTGAGCACTCTGACTTAACAACCCTTCGACTTTCTTTTGCAAAGCATTAAAGTCATTAACTTCCAGCGAGAGGGAAAAGCAGGTTCTTACTTAAACTCTTATCTTCTAAGAAGTCTTAAAAACCAGCAGCAGTAAGCCCTCGTCTCTCTCTGACAACATGAAATCAGAAAGCACCATACTGCTGCTAAGTAATGGGGCCATTCTGTTAGAATGTAACTTAAGAAAAACTGGACTTAGTGACATGTTCTTTACTCAGAAGCCTGGGGTGACTCCACACTGTTGATCAGATGTGGTCCTTACGCTTGGGAGTGAGTTTCTGTTGCCCTTTCACTACCTACCATGTGTTCTCTGCTGCCCACTGGATGACATTATTTCATCTATGCCATCTGATTCCTCTATCTTTCCCTCCCCTCACTGACACCCACTCATCATGCCCACCTCTTGCTCTAAGCCATGTTGGATGGACTCTGTTCCCAACACATACTACTGATATTTTAAATATCACCAAACATTTATATATCCCTTTAGGATATCCAACTATGCCTGCCATGTCTCTTTGAAAGGTTCAACTTTTTGAATTTCATCAAACTCACTCCTCTTACATCTTTAATACTACAGCATTGCTTACATATTTGTGCAGTGTGTTTTCCACTTGCATGCCTCCATCTTTGCATTTACACTTGAGAGTATATGTGTCACATATTCCTCCACTAGGTTATCCATCTACTAGATTATTTTCTTACCATTTTTTCATTTCCCTGAAGATAACCAGGTATGTGACAGCACATCAACTACTTTATGTTTATTGAGCATCCATGTGCCAAAAATTGTGCTAGATGCTAGAGGAAGAGACACAGCCCTTAGGCTCTGGCAGGAAAGAGATATTAAATAATGTAGGTGATCAAGGAAGATGCTTGGGGAATATGTGGGGAATGAATGGAAAACTTTCTCTGAGGAAGTGATATGTAAATTGAGACTATTAGGTGTTAGTATGACCCAACATCTAGGCAAAAAACTAAGGAACAAAGCATGCCGAGTGAAGGGACTAACAGGTGCCAGGATTGTCACATGGAGCAATGCAGCCCTGCATAATGACCAGCTCGACAGGTGACCTCTGAACCCTTAGGGTACCCTGACTGATAAGAGTGCACATCTAAGACCTCAGGCCAGCCAGATCATTCATGCTAACAACGTAGTCTGTGGTGAACACCTGTTTTCATATGCCTAGCCTGCTTGGGCCCATGCTGTTTGAATTTGACCTCGGTTGAGGCGGAAGACTGAGTGGTTAAGGTCAGTCAGATACATGCTGGATACTCACGTGACTGACCCCAAATAAAATCTTGGGGCAGCAAGGTTCAGGGGAACATCCTTGGCCGGCAGTATTTTGTATGTGTGGTCATACATTGTTGCTGGGAGAATTGAGCACCATGTGACTGCTCTGGGAGTGGAAGAGTGGAAGCTTGTGCCTCCCGTCTTCTGGAATCTGTCCTATGTGCCTTTCTCCTTTCCAGATTTTAGTTTGTATTATTTCGCTGCAATAAATCATATACGAAACTAAAATAGCTTGTGTGAATTCTTCTAAGAATCATCCAACATGAGAGTAGTGGGGAGTCCAACACAGGTAGGGTAGAGAGGACAAAGGCTGTGGAGACAGGAGCATCTGAACTGAGGGAGGAGATGAAAGAATTGGATTCCTTAGATCCTTATACATTAGGGTCAAGAATGGCATGCTTGCCTATCTGATTGACCCCAGTGTGGCCTCTTTATTTATAAAATTGTACTCTGTGGCCCTAGCTAGATCTCATGCAGGGTACCTACAGAAGATATGTAAATTAGATGCTTTTCCTGGGATGGAGGAGCCCCTGGGCATATAAAACTTACTGGAGGAGATAAGCAATGTCACCCATGAGATGGTTGTCCTGATTGTCATTTTCCATATGGCCACCTTGGATTTGGAGTAGTCAGCACTCAACACATATGAGTAAAGAAGAGATGGTCTGTTTATTATAAAAGCTGAGAGAAAAATCCCAGAACTGTTTGCCATACTGAATGTCACATATTGAAAATTCAGTGAGGTGACATCACTAATTTGTTTCTTGATCACATATGCATGGTAACAGAGTGAAGTCAAGGGAAAAACAGGGTGAGAGTGGTTGAAGCAATTTAAGTAATTCATTGGCACGATGGACCCTGTTATCAAGGCTGCAAATAAGTCATCAGCTTCAGGCATGGACGTGCACCGAGGTGTTTCTCAGACTGCTGCTTGTGTGGGCAAGCACACTGCCTTCTCAAGAGGATGCCTTGAATCCACAATAGCCTGAGAGAGCTTTAAACGTAATGGAAGATGTGCTTGTGTAACTCATTTCTAAATTGGCAGGGTACTGCATCTTTGATGGTGTCGGAGTGGAGAACCTGTCGGGGATGTGGCAGGTGCTGGCAGCCGGGTCTCTCCCAAATCAGAGCCGTGCTGAGGAAGAGGTGGGCAGTACACTCAGGAAGCCATGTGATCTGAGGGCTCCAGGGATGGTTCCATGAGTCCAAATGCCCAGATTCTGGGGAACCCAAGATACTGCTATGTATTTTTGAATCACAGGCTCAAGGGGGTAGAGTTGGAATGTTGCTTTACCATGTGACTTTGGATAAGCTACTTAAAAACCCTCTGGGTCTCAGTTTGCTCATCTGTGCATTGGTTATTGAAATAGGAATTTGCCCATGGGTTTTATTATTTATTTATTTTTCACAGGTTTTATTTTTTGAGAAGTGAATGAGGGAATGTCTGTAAAGTACCTGGCTCAGGGCTGGGTATGCATTAAGGGGTCAAACAACAACGACAAAAACAGAAAGGGCATTAAGCATTTTTAAAATAAACCATCAGACATAAAAAGACCTCTTGTGGGGGCTCCATGCCAGTCATACACACTTCAGGACCATCCTGCTGAGTGAGGACATCTGTGTGCTCTGAATTAGACAACAGTGAATGTGACAGAACCACACTGATGAGAATTCACTATTTTGGCCTTCAGTGCCCAGGCTGTGTGTTAGAGAGCTGCAGATAATTCAGGTGCTGTTGTCTTCAGCAGCATGTACAGCACCAAACAGAAGATGAAGAGACGGGTCCCTGAAGGCCATGTGGACAAGATGGATCCCATGGTCAGCTCTGACAATGACGAAGCCTCTCCTGCGTCCCTGCAGCCAGGGAAAATCTTGGTAGGTGTAAGTCTGCTCAAAGAAACAAGAGCTCTGGGCTCCTGAGATGACTTGGGTTTCTGTCCCCGCTTCTTCAACACAAGTGTGGTTTCTGGTATGTTATTCATCTCTCTAAATCTGTTTCCTCATCCATGAAAAGGAGAAAATACCTGGCTACCTGAATTGAAGAGTTAAGGATAAAACAATATAAGTCAATACATGAGTATAATTGACAAATATGAGTATTCAGAAATAAAAAACACATTGCCATCAACACCCTCAACATATTCCCTCTCACTTCCAACATGCTTATCCTGTCATGTTTGGCGCTGTCTGTAGCCGTCCTGGAAGTCCTCCTTTGGGAGTGTCTTTAGTTGTGCCATTGTGGTTGCCTCAATTTCCTGAATTGATTCAAAACATTTACCTTTCATGGTCATTTTGATTTTGGGGAAGAGCCCAAAGTTGCACAGTACCTGATCCTGCTGCATGTAGGTGAGGATACGCTGCAATACTTCATGAGCCCACCTTTCTGCTGGATGGCACCTGGCAGCAGTATTCATCGTATTTTTGATCATACCTTGTTGACATACAAAAGAGGACCTTCAGAATTGCTTCAGAAAGTGGCAAGAATAATGGGATAAAAATGTGTAAAGCAAAGGGGAGTATTTTGACAGGGGTTAATGGCAGTGTGTCTTTTACTGTGATAAATCTTTTTTAAAAATTTAAACATCCACCATATATTTTAATCACCCCTTGTATATAAGCCTGGCCACATGGTAAGAATGTCATAAATAATGGTAATAGGATCATATAAACAAGCACAGGGTCGTCATGACAAAGGGTGAAATGCATTAGTGGTGACTGTCACTGTTTTGTGGCATCAATCCTGTGAGAGCATATTTAGTTTCCTTCCTAGAAGGAATGGTGATGCCTGCTGCACAAGCGCAAGGACCCAAGTTCCATCTCTGATACCAAAAAAAAAAAGAATGGTGAGATACAGAGAGCAGACATTTTTGAAGTGAAGCCTGGAAAATGGGTGCAGTTCATTCTGGGAAATGGTTTATGGTTTGGATCAATTTCCCACCCAGGTGACATGCTCATCATCGCCCTAGGTAGACCCAATTTTGGGATTAGTGTGGGGGGCAAGCAGGAGAATGTACACAAGCAGCAGATCTGCTCAGCCAGGGGAAGGTCAGCAATGGGCCCCTTGTAGGCAGGATCCTTTCAGGCTATGAATGGCTGTAAGGGTGCTGACTGAGGCTGGTTCCCAGGGATCTGTGGGTTTCTGTCTCCACTCTAATCCTTTCTACAGTGGGAAGCTGTGTGCTGGGACAAACAGCCTGTCTGACAAGGAACCTAGAACCCAGAAAGCACAAGGACCCAGGCAGAGTATGCTGCAGGGGATGTGGAGGTGGAGAGCCAGGCTAGGGAAGGATATTCTCAAAGAAGAATATGGGTGGTTCTCTTCTCATCTTGACTCCAGCTGTTTCTGCATCTGAACAGTTTTTTGGGAGAGGAACCCAAGAGGTGATTAGCAAAGACCCCAGGTGATGTGGTTTCCAGATAGAAAAGCCTCTGTTCAGCACAAAATCCTGATTGTGTACAGAGCAGACACATAATGGGACTTTTTTTTTTTTTTTGGCACGGGAGATCTAACTCAGGACCTTGGGCTTGTGAGGCAGGCAGCAGAACCACTGAGCTAAATCCCCGGCCCTACATAATGGGACTTTAAAAGCACAGCCATGGAAGCAGTGGCTGCTGGAGCTACGCTCATCAGCAACTCATTGAGAGCAGAATGCTCATGGATATACAAAGTTAGTGAGGTCTACTGCCATCTTGGAAATGTAGCCTGGGAAGGCTGAGGGACTGGAGATGCCTGCCAGAGATGGCTTAAAAGGCAAATGGGTCAGAGTTGGCCTTTGTCCTCTACTAAGATGTATGCATGCCCAAGTCTGTTTCCTCCTCTGTTCCCATAGGAAATGAAAGCTGATGACAGCAGCTGCTGCCTGTTGGTCAGATGCAGTGGTTCTCAAATGGAACAGATTTGTTCACAAGGGACATTTGTCACTGTATGGAGACATATTTGGTTGCCACAACTGGGAACAGGGGGTGTGTTACTGGCATCCAGTGGGGTGCTGCGAAACGTCCTATAGTGCACAGCACAGCCCCAAGGGTTGGGGTGCTGAGGCAGGGAAGTCTGGTCTGATGCAGTGCAAAGGTGCCTTTTCCCTGGAGGAAGCTTGCTACTCCCACCGCCCCGTCCCAGGGTAGGACAGAATGGGAAAAGGTCACGGATAATCTCTTATTCTTCATGGGCAAATACAGAAGAGAGGGAAATGAGAGGGCAAAGAAGGGGGCGGCAGGGATGAGTCCAAATGGAGCTTCAGGCCAACTTTCAAGGTAGATGGAAGGATAAGGGCAGAGTTTTTCATTTCAAGTCAACTCTTACTTATTTAAAAAGCGATTTCCTTAAGCACGTAATTATATGTTTATTTCCCTAAGGAACTCTTGAAGCAGAGGAGACCAGCTTAAATTATGGGGAGAGAGGCTGCACACAGGGCTTTAATGGGGTTAGAAAAATTTTCCATTTCCTTCAAAGGAGACTCAGGAGGAAGGGAAGGGCAGATTCTGCTCCTGCAGTGCAGAGCATGTGGGGAGATGGAGCAAGAGAAGATTGGAGAGACAGAAAAGATGGGATTGGCTGCATGGCCCCAGCAGGTCAGCACTTTGTGCAGACATGAACTTGGGGTGCAGTTTCAAACCTGCCACCTGTCTCTCCATCATTGTTAGTCCTCAGAATGGAGCAAAGAAGTCCAGAAGGGGGCTGTTCACATCTTTTGTGCACCACTTCCTCCACTTGAAAGCATAGGTAAGCGCACACACACACATTCAGTCCTCTGGGAGACACTCAAGACACAGGACGAGGGTCAGAGTGGTGGGGGTGGCAAGGTGGCTGGGGCTCCTGGTGAGAGGCGGGTAAGGGTTTCACTCAGTGAGTCCTCTCTTTGTGCTATTTCTCAATCCTCTGTTGCAGCCTGACTGCTTGGAATTGTGGGTTTCTTCTCTTTGGGACAAATCCCCACCTGGAAAGACCAGGTAGGAACCAAGAAAAAGCGAAGGAACTGATCCTTCAGATTCAACTCAGAGAAGAAAATGGGGGTGGGGCATGCAGCATCTTACAGCGTCTGATTGTTGAAACACTGGGTGCTCTTTTATGTAAGGATCAATTGGATGGCACTGAGCTGGCTGGTGGTAGAAGGGAGCAAGTAATGAGGAGTGGGTGGCTCAGGCCTGGCTCTGGCCTAGGCTCCAAGACATAAGGTCTATAAGAACTCTAGACTCTTTCCTTCCCTTTGTCCCCCTGTACCTGGAATGATAGACATGGTTTCTAACATCCATTATGTGTGACTGGACTCTGTACCTATACTCTCAGGAGCTATGAGCTCACAAGGGCAGGAATTGTATATTATTCTATGGAGAAGCCTCCGCTTCTAACAGAGCCTGGTACATATAGGGACTCAATATGTAACTCAGGATGAATTCTACCTTACTCAGCCCAGCTTCCAGCAGTTCATGCTGATGTCACAGAAAAAGTCCATTTGGTTACTGTATGCCATTTACCCCATCTCTCAGAAGTTGAAAGTGTGTGCGGATGACGGGATGGAAATCAACACAGGGATGGGGGATAACATCTGAGAAACATGGCCAAGATTCATAGCCCCAGAGCTTTTATTTATCACATATCCGGTCTGCACAATCACCCAGACAATCTCATTTCCGGCATTTCTTGGTCTGAGGATGGAGGCAGCATGGGCTGAAGGACCTGAGGCTGGCAGGAGATGCCCACTCTGGGGAGATGGAGATGATGGTCATCTGTGAACATGACAGCCAGGCCGTCTCTGCCTTGAGAGGAGCAGAGGTGACACACATGGAGTAGGCCTAGGCTGATGGGATGCATCAACAGAGACCCGATGGCCTGGGAGTGTCAGAGAGCAGGGGGCGCTGAGATTTGCATTCTTTTCATTGATCAGTTCCCCAGAAATCATATGAAGCACTGGCAGGGAACAGATATGCAAGAGTTTCAGAATCTTCAGGAGGCTGAAGATGTTTTGCAGTCCTGGCCCATCCTTCCACTTTCTAGAAGTGACTTGGGCCTCTGTGACCCTTGGCAACCCCATCCAAAGAACAGGGACAGTCTTTGCCTTTCCTAGAGAACAGGGTGCTCTGTAAGTGTTGTGCAGTATGAGCAGGTTCCTGTAAGTATTTACTCAAGGAAGCAGCATTAGGAACTCCTTCTCCCCACATCAGTGGGACCCCAGCCATCTTGTCATTTGGGACCCACCTGCAGGAAAGGGCTACTTCAGTCCAGCAGGAGCCACGGGAGCTGGAGGCTTGAAGCTTGAGTCCACTTCCTTCTGTCTCTGGTCTTACCTTCCATGTAGGCAGCAGAGCAGGGGCCTGGCAGGAGGGTGCTGAGGCCCCTTATTTAGTTCGTTGGTAGAACTGGAAGACTGCTTTCTCCTGCTCGTAGGTTTCGATGGAGCCGGGTCGCAAGCGCCGGATTTCAGCAATAGCATCTCCAGCAGCCAAGCCCTGCTCCTTCACCAGGTAGCAGGCCAGCATGGTGCCAGTGCGGCCGAATCCCAGGGCACAGTGCACTCCCACGGCCTGTGAAGAGGGAGCTTGGTGGGGTGGGGCTTTCTCCATACTTTCCTCCCCCTCCTGGGCAGGATTCCTGCTCCCCACAAGTCTGACACCCTCAGAGGACAGGAAGTACCATCAAAGGGTTCCAGAACTGGGCTCCTGAGCTGCTTTCCCAGATCTCTCTACCTTCGCTGTCCAACATGGGAGCCACTAGACAGGTAAGACTACTGAGCACTTAGAACGTGGCCAGTCCAAATTGAGATGGGTGGTGAAATATACACCAAGGTTTGAAGATGCAGCATGAAGGAAGATGGAAATAGCTTATTCAGAATTTACTATAAATTGGGCATGGTGGTGCACATTTGTAGTCCTAGCATTTTGGGAGGCTAAAGCAGGAGAACTGTAAGTTAAAGCCTTAGACTGTTTCAAAAGAAGACAAAAAAGGCTGGGATGTAGCTCACTGTGAAGGTCCTTGGTTCAGTCTCCAGTAACACACACACAATTTGTTTTATATTGATCATATGTCAAAATGATAACATTTCTGACTTACTGGACTATTACCAAAATTAATTTCACTTGCTTTTTACCACCTTTAAAAAGTATTGTGGTTGCTAGAAAATATAAAATTCCAACTGTGTCTCCGTTGTATTTGCACAGCACTGCTCTAGAAAATGGTAAACCACCTGCTTTTGGGGTCAACCCCACCTCTCCCAAATCGGCCCACCCCTTTCTCTTTCTTCCTCTCCTCAGTATCTGCTGGCCTTTTCCCGCCTCCCCTGCAGTTTGGCTCTCCCGCACCGGCTGGTCATCCGGTCGTCTCCGCGATCCCGCCCCCCCCCCCCCCCCGCTTCTCCCCCAGGTCGCGTCCCCGGCTCGCTGACCTCTCCTCGGGCGTTGGCCTCGTCCACGATCTGCACGAAGTGGTCGATCTGGTCCGGGGCCGGCGGGCAGAAGTCCGGGATGCGCAGTCGGTGCAGCGTTAGGCCAGGACTGCTGGTGCCGTGGGGGGGCCCGTGCTCGGTCAGGGACACCAGGTGTCGCACGCCCTGGTCCAGCAGGAACTGGTAGTGGGCGGGGAGCCGAGGCAATGCCAGCCCCGCCAGCCGGCCCGGGAGCACCCAGGAGAAGTTAGAGGGCTGCACACCCATGGCTGGGGGGAGGGCACCCGGCAGGGGTCACCCGGCGAGTGGCCCTTCCGGCTTCGCCCTGTCGCCCGCCCGCCCTCGGGGCGGGGTAACCGACCCGTACCTGGACTGGCTCCTCCCGGCCACGTGGTCAACGGAGCCCGCCCCCCGGGTGACGCTCTTCTCCGCGACCGGCGATTGGCTGAGCCTCCGGGGCGTGGCCGAGACGCAACCCCTCCCCCCAGGAGCGACTCTGAGGGGCCCACGTTGCTTCAAAGCAGGAGCCGGACACTAGAAGGTTGGCTGGACAATCGGTAGCTGTCGGGTTCCCGTAGCTTTGCGCAACTCTGACATGGGAGAAGAAAACCTGGAGCAAATTGTTTTCTGTAGACGAAGAACTCGGGGTCGAGCTCTGCTGCTCCCTAGTGGTGCGCTGGAGTTACGGCTTCGCTGGCTGCTGCCCCTGCCTCTCCGTGGGCCTGGCCTCAATTTACCTTCTTTGCAGTGGATGCACACAGGATTTAAGAGACGACAAGTCTGTTTCCACCCTGGAGGAAGAATCACCTCTCCAATGACTGACTAGTCATTATCAGTGACTTCTTGATCTTTTTCAGTAAGAGAGAATTACCACCTCAAAAGTGGCTGTTTGCATTTTTCCATTGGTGGGACTGTTAAAAAATACTGAGCTGCCCTGTGGCACCCTAAAATCTTACTCAGAATAATGTTATAATAACAATAACAGCCGGTAACATAAGAGCGTTTATTGAGCATGTATTATGTGCCAAGTACTCTTTTAAACACTTTATATACATTAACTTTCTTGGTCCACACAATCATCTTAGGAGATAGGTGATCCAATCAATCCCATTGTACAGATGAGAAAATTGAGGGCCTGGAGGGGTTAAGGAAGATGACTGTTGGCTTCAGAATCTTTAACAGCACAGTACTATTTCCTAAAATTGATCAGAAAATTTGTTCTGTTCACACGGGCATTCCCACAACCCATAAATGTCATCTAGTTCAAACACGGATTTCTTTACTTTAAAAAAATATTTGTTGGGCCGGGGATTTAGCTCAGTGGTGCCACCGCCTGCCCCACAAGCACAAGGTCCCGAGTTCGATCCCCAGTACCAAAAAAACAATAACAACAACAACAACAAAACACACACACACACATATTTGTCATTGTAGTATTTGATGATTTCCAGGCCTTCTTGGTCACCCTGCCCTGGGCAGTCAAGTTTATCAGCGCTGTTCTAAGGCAGAGAACTAAGTCTGAACACAGACTCAGCTGGGATCTGAACAGTCTGTAACTTCACTGAAATGGCCTGCAGCCCACCCGTATCTGTGAAAATAGTTAACCCTTATCGGATTTGCTCATGGACCAGGCCCTTTGCCAGATGCTTCCTGGAAGAGGCACACGTGGAAGGTATTTTGCATGCTTTTTGTACATGAGTAACTTGCAGCTTAGAGAAGTTGGTGATGCTGGCCAAGGACACCTTGATCCAGGCTCAGGGCGTTTGGCCATGAGGACGTTACCGGGCCCCCCCACGCCTTCCCCCTGCCACACACATCCTACTATCGAGTCCTCTGGCTTCAGCGAAATGAAAAGGGCAGTGGAAAACACAGTCTCCATTTACCCAGACAACTGCTCCCCCAGGTCCCTGGAGCAGCCAAATCTCCCCTTCCTCCCCTCCTCACAGTCAGAGCCCTGATTAAGGCCTTCCTGTGAGCACTCCCATTTCCCACATAACTCCCTAGTGCTCTTCTCAGCCAGCACAGTTCATTCCTTTTCCTGGTTCTCAGCTGTGACTTACCAGCCCCCCGGTCACCCACTTTTCTCCACTTTTCTCCACCCAAGTGCTCCCCAGAGTTTCCGGTTGCACTGCTCTGGAGACAAGACTGTAGAACTTGTTAATCATTTCTTAGTCCCCTGGCCTCGCTCTCTTTTGTTCCTTTCACTCCTCGGGGAAAAACTTGTGGAACATCTCCAGTTCCTCTTCTGCCCCTTCCCTCCCTCCTTGATATCCAGGTCAGAGCCCATCTTCTTCAGAAAAAAAGACATTTTGGGGGGAGACAGGGATTATTTTCTTCTCTGTGCCCCCAAAGAGTGGTATTTCCCCCAGAAGTTGTGTCTCTGTGGTGTTAGATGTGTACCTGCCGGCCCCCCTATGGAAAGACCAGTTGGTTCTCTTTCTAAGAATTCCTTCCCCTTCCTCTATGTTCCTGCCCTTCCAGCAGACACTGGGTGGAAAGGGCCAGCTCAGTTCCCTGCTTGAGCTATGTCTCATCGTCAAGGTACCGGGGATCAAACTCAAATAATGACTATGACAATACAGTCCTGTAAGCCTAGTTACTATTTTTGTAAAAACAGGTAAACAAGCCTTGTTCTTTATTGAGCTCTGTGCCTATGCTGTACATGTGTATGATAGCATGTGTGTCTCTGTGTGCATGAGTGCGTTGGGGGACATATTCCTGGAGAACAATCTGTTGACATTGATGGTGCAATGAGTAATAAGCGTAAGTAACTTCCCTGACTTCAAGGAATTTACAACATACTTGGGGGGGATTTAGGCTGAGATATAATTATTCCCAGAACATGTAATAACGTACTAAATTGCTCATCAAAGCAATTGTCATTATCTGGCAATCAGATAATATATATTAAAAAGCTAATTGTGGAGCAAAAATAACAAGCATGAAAGAAGTCAGTAGGGAAAAGATAAGCTTGGGTTGGAACCACTGGAAGCACTCCAAAGACAGGATCTGTTTTTTCTCATTTTGTTCTCTGTCCACTGGAAAACTCAGCTGAAGAGTTTTAGGGCATCCTAGCTTCCTCTTCCCCAGCTTATGAGAATATTTGACCTAGTTCATATTCCCGTTGAGGCTCTAGTTTCCCAGTTGGCTTGATGTTAGTGGCAAGTAGAGGTAAAACTAGGTTCAGAGAATTCCTTCTTCCAGGAAGGTCGCTATGTCCCACCATGGCAAAGGATTGCTTGGATTTGGGTTCCTGTGGACCTTGGACTGCAGTCAAGAATTCTCTGAGCCCTACATGTTTTAATTTTCCTCTGTCTGTGCCGATTTTATACCCAGAACCCAATGATCTGGAACTGGTCTAAGAAGAAGGGACTGTTGTAGTCAGTCTGTAAGATGGCCTTCAATGAGCATCGCATGCTTTGAGTAGTCAGGTCCTATTCCACACTGATAGGGCCAGTTTCTGTACGCAGTAATTTTATTGTTGAAGTGATATTGTATGGCATACTAGACTGAGTCACCAAAGACTTGGTGTTTGCCTTGCTGTGTCGTGGGAAGACCTGCCATGGGAAACTCTTGGGAAGAAGCAGGCAGCCTTGTAGTGAGCACATGGAGAGACCTATGCAGTGAGGAACTGAAGCCTCGTACCTGTAATTATGTAAGCGAGCCAGCTGATTTGGAAGTACATCCTTCAAGCCCCATCAAGATTTTAAATGATTTGCACATCTTGATCGTAATCTTATAGGTTCCCTGAGCCAGAACAACCCAGCTAAAGCTCTCCTCAAGTTTTTATTCACAATACTGAGGTAATAAATATTTATTGTTTTACACAATCAAATTTGGGGTAGTTTGTTGTGCAGCAATACATAACCAATACACATGGAAATATTTAGTTTGGAGAAGAGGAATTCCAATAAACTGAGAAGTGAAATAAAATCCAAACAAGGTTAATTACAAAAATAGTCATAAGCAACTGTGGCCTAGGTATGTGTGTGTGTGTGTGTGTGTGTGTGTGTGTGTGTGTGTGTGTTGTGATAAGTAAATGGAAATTTTCCACATCTGGGAAACCATGTGATGTAGAGGAATCAACTAGAGTAGTTTGGGTACTGTTTTTGCATGTGTATAGTGTTAGAGGTAAAGACTTATGTGGTATTTGTGTGGTTAGAGATGATGTAGAAATCATTTAAATATTGGTCATGGCACAGGGAACGAGCAATCAGAACATAGTGTCCACAAGTCAGAAGTAGAGAACACTAGTTCAAACAATAGTGAAGCTACCCTGGTGTCTATTGGCTGTTTGTCAGCCTTGGATGTTCTGAAATGGACTGGGTGTGGCCAGATCACCTTGGACATTTTAATATAGGTCTTTCCACAAGATGGCACTGATAGCTTTTCCTTGTTCCTCTTTTATTGTCTTGTTGAAAAATGTGTGATTTGTATACTGTTACAGAACATTCCGTAACTAAAAATTAACTATTTATTAATTGATTACTTTACTTTTGGTAATTTCACCTTTATGGCACTTATAACTATGCTTTTCTTTTTAGAGCAGCATGGAAACATTAAGTTGGGGGATGATGCCTTACGCTAGGTGCTATCATTTTGGGAGTTGAAGATAAGGAAGGAGTTAGAGACCAGGCTCCAGCTTCTGAAAAGCCATTCAACAAAGACAGGTGAGAGCAGAATCGAGAGAACACTCAATTTGGTAAGAGCCACTTCTGCCATGGAAACCGTTTTGGTGGACTCTTCCACTTTTGCTTTTATGTTGCCCTGAATTTGGATGAGTCACAACTCAGCTAGTACTTTGATTAGAGCCTGTGGTGGGCCACAGGCTAACCTGAAGCAAAGGGCCCAGCTAACCTGAAACTGAACTTCTAACCGATAGAAATGTGACATAATAAATGGATTGTTCTTTAGTCATTAAATTTATGACAGTTGTTATGCAGCAATAGAAAACTTTTCTAGATGCACTTATTTACTTATTTTATTTTCTTATCTTTAATATACTGAATACAACACTAGACCCTTCATTGCCGTATCTTCACTATGTTTTAAGTCTTCTAATCTTCAAAGCTGTAGACCACTTAGGTGCATTTCCCAGTGTGAATGCAAAAAAATACAGTGAATTGGTGATTGTCAGCATCTAGGTTCCTTTAGGTACCTTCCTAAACTCCTAGTTGTTCCCCCTATCTCCTTTCTGTTAGTGCTTTTCAAGATGTGATCTGTGATCCATCCACAATTGGCATCATGTGAGAGCTTGTGAAAAGTTCAGACTCTCAGCTCCACCCTAGACTGTGGGATTCCCCAGGTTGTTGATGGAACACTATGCCTGAGTAGCCCCTTTGTGACAGTGGCTTATCCTGCAGCTGATTTCCTTTCTTCTCCATGATCATCAGTAGCTCCCAAAGCATGGCCTGGACATGGAGGTGTCTCTTCTCTGGAGCTGAGGAGCTTTGGCTGAGCAGGGTATGGGCAGAGGAGTTGGTCAGCAGAGGGAGAGATCTTAAAGGGGTCAAACTGGCTTGGGTGGAAGCCCAAGGCCAGTTAGAAACACCGAACAGTCCCAGATTAGAACAATGCATTGGCTTTATCCACACCTTAGAAAAATGTCCAAGAAAAATATGTGTAAATGTACATGTTCCTTTCCTGTTTTTGTTTCAAGGATGGGCTCGGTTCCTAAATTTCCTTTCTGGAGGAATGCTTGAAATATCACTCCCTGCTCTTCCCACCTTCTAACTATATTCCAAGCATGGCAGACATTGTCTTTGTCATTATCCTCCAGTTTAAATGCCTTCATCCTCCATGCAGTTTTGAGGGAAAGGGAGGGATAACTTCCTGTCACATCATCCTCTCCTTCCTGTTCAGTAGCAGACCTTCTTTTCACCCTGGTGTCATCCTTCCAGAGCCTTGCTAGAACTCATCGCCTCCGTGGAGCTCTGGACTGGCCTTCTGTATTTCACCCTCTACACATTTCCCCTCCGTGCAGCCCCGGTGACTTCACAGAAGAGAGACTTTGCTTTGTAGCTCTTCAGTAACTCCTGTTGCTGTCAAGAGCAAACTCTCAGGATTTATAGACTGGCACATAAAGTCCTCTGGGATGAGGACTCCTTTCCTCTTTAGCCTCATCTCACCTCATTTCTTTACAACAATGTTCCCATCACCCCGAGCAGTGTACAGGTCGCCAGGTATGCAGAGCCACCTCATCTGCCTTGGCCCAGGCTGTGCATTCTCCTGCCTGGCTCTTACCTGTAGCCTGCAGCAGCACCTTGTCTCCCTCAAGCTTCAGTCTGGGAACAAATTGTTTTCTCGGGAAACCTTCTCTGCTCCTCATGATTCATGCTTTCTGTTCCTCTTCTAAGCTTTCATAGCTTCTCCATTGGAACACTGATTCTATTATGTATTTAAATCATCTGAGCCTGCTGTGCAAGCACAAGGACCCAAGTTCGATCCCAGGTACCAAAAAAAAAATCATTTGAATTTCTTACTGCTATATTATACAAATATATGTTTATTGGGAAAGCATTAAAATACATATACAGAAAAGAAAAGAAAAAAAAAACAATGATTACCTACTACCTGTTTATATTACAGGGTGTTCAGTTAGGAAAAGAGTGTCCACTCTTTGCTTTCCAGGTATGGAGGGAAGCAGTGCAGGAGATTTTAGGAGCACTTGTTTGATGAGCTACTCAGCAAAAGTCCTAGATGATCTTCACCTGAACTCCTAGTAAGACGCTTGCAAAGACCTTAACAGGAAGCTACTTTCGACTGTAAATCTCAAGAACTGGAAAATTTCTACCAGTATCCCACTAATGTGGGAAGTTGCAAGAAGTTCACCTGGGTGCTGCTGTGAAGCCTTCATTTGCATATGCATTTGCCTGCCTCCAGCAACTAATGAGGTCATCTCTCTTGTCCTCTTCCATCTCACACGAGTGCCTTTCTTTGACACTGAACATTCAAGAGAAGGGAGTCCCCCCCTCACCCCCGCCCCGCCCTGTACTGGGGATTGAATTCAGGACCTTGTGCTTGTGAGGCAGGCAGGGCTCCACTAAGCTAAATCCCCGGCCCAGGAAGGGGGATTTTTGAAAATGTTCCCCCCCGCCTCTTTGTAGTTCAAGGACCTTAGAAAATGAATGGCATTGATGGTACATTTACAAGAGACAATTCACCACATTTTGGTATACCACCTTTCCTATGTCTCTCTCTATGTGTGTATATGTCAGTAATAATGTACATATGAAACTCTCTCTTTAATGTGCTCTATCTGAATATCTATATACATTTCTCCCTTCTGGCTCCTTGAAGGCTTAATGAGGTTGCTTCTCTACATTTTAGAGCATGGATTCCCAGCACTGGTTTGATGACACCCTGGAGTGTCTTCATTTATCTCAGGGGGTGCCTTGAAATTCACAAAACAAGATTAATTTAAATTCATTTTCATTTAAAAAAGTAAACAGACATTATATAGTAATTACAGGTACAAGTGTGTGTGTTGAAAATCAAACTAATAAATGCTTGCCTTAGAGGGAAATCAAGAGGCTGGGGGTGGAGTTGGAAGGGACTAGAAAGGTGGTTTAGCCTGCATCTTTTCTAAAACATCCCTCCCTTTCCTTTACCTCCAGATTCTTATTTCTGCAAATTAATCATGTTTCTCCAATTGGGAGCCAGGGCTGTTGGGAATAAAGTTCCCACTATGGAGGGTTGTCTTCTGTGCCTACCACAGGTCCTGGCATTCAGCAGGCCCTCAGGTAACCCATGTTGATTGTGCGCCTGGGCAGGACAGAGTGGTGGTGGTTGGGAAGGGTGCATGGCACCTGTGTGTCCCAGCTTTGTGAGACTGGGGACCAGGAAGTATCTGTGGAGATAGGGGCCTAGGTAGCAATCTCATTTGAGTTGTAGGAGAATATTGACTCCCAGACAACCAAGGAAAGAAGGACTTGAACTGGGATGTTGTTGGCCTTTGGTGACTGACCACAGGGTCCTATAACTGGCTTTCTATTAGTAATTTGTGAAAGTCATCAAAGAGGTGGGTAGGTCAACTAATATCAACATGTGTGAGTATTGGTGAGTTACTGCTGAGGGTGCAATCCCAAGGCCATAGTAATGTAAAGAATTCAGAATTCTGCACAAGACCAGTTGCTTTGAAGCAATAGAGATGGTAGTGGGTTCAAATCCTGATGCTGCTACTTAAAACTATATTACCCCGAATAAATTGCCTTACACCTCAGTGCTCTAATCATAACACCTACCTCATAGAGTTGTGAGGATTAAATGAATTAATCCACATAAAATACTTTGAACAATACTTGGCACAGTGAGGGATAAATAAACACTGGCTATTGTTATCATCATCACAGTAGGCTCCACACACTTAGGAGGACTAATTGGTGGTAGATGTTTCAGGTAGAGTGTATTAGTGGCCCCCTCTGGTCTGAAAGAATAGCTTCAGGAGCTCCTCCTCTTGTCCCCTAGATTGGGGTAGGAATATCATTTGCCAGAACTGGAAACTCAGGCACAGGGTTAACTGAATAACAAACAGAACAAAAAGCTACCACATGCAAATTGAGTTCTCAGCAAATCCCCTTGTTACACTTTGATGGGATATTCTGCAGCGTGGGGAAAAGTAGTGCAAACATACCTGGATTATTAGAATCACACTTGGTAGCAAGGGAAAAATGTGTCTTCTGGCACAGATTTTTATGGCCTCTCAATCCTTGAAAGAAAGCTCTCAATCAAATGTATTCTTCATTACCCACTACTACTGAGGAAAACCCCCAACTTCTTCTGGAGAAAATGACTGATAGGAAGAGAACCTTTCAGGCCATTAACATAAACACATTCCCAATTCTCTTTATTTTACTGAAAAAACTAAATATACTTACGTTCTCACTTGGGAAAGACAAATCAAGTTTAACATCTGATCTTAGCAAAATTCAAATACTGGATTTGAAATGCCAGTAATTCTGTTTAATTCTTTTTCTCTTGTGCAAACACAGAGGAATCTTCATTGTATGATCACTCAGATGTTCAAACAATTGTTTAGGATGAAAAAAAATTTGAAAATTCATACAGAATTTACTTCTCAACTTGCTATGACCATAATGGATACAAAGTTAAAGAGTCAGAGTCATTTATTTTAAATTCCTACAAACTCTCAACCAGAAAAGATATTTGATTCAGAAAAACATGGAAATATGGTGAAGAAAACTTGGTTAGCTTTGTTTTAGAGGTTTTTTTTTGTATTTGCAAGACTGTGTGCTGTTGTAGTCTTACCCTTTCTGAATCTTATGCTTCTTAAACTCTATGTGTCTTCAGTTCAGTTAAACAAATATGTACCAGATTTGCATAGATAAATAAGATGCTGGATTGTACACTTGAGTGAGAATACAGAAACTTTTACATTTTGGCATTGTAGTAGATCATTACATAAATGACCCTGTGGCTTATGTATTCGTCTGCCACATTGGTGCAGTATTGGGCTCGGCCACATGACTTTACTTTGGCTAATGTAACATACACAGATGTGATGGAAGCAGGGGTTTGATAAGCACTCACACATTGAGACTTTTCATTTTGGAACTTGGAGACCACTATGTTATGAAGAAGCCCAGAATTAAATGTTATGTAGTAGGAGGGGCCAGCTGAGCCCAGTCCCCGAGAGTTCCCTCAGGTGCAAGTCCCCGAGGGTCTCCTCAGATGCACACAGCTCTATGAGTGATCCCAGGTTTAAGCAGCAGAAGAATCACCCAGCTAACTCACAGAACCATGAGAAATAATACATTGTTGAGTCACCAAGTTTTTAGTTTTTTTTTTTTTTATGCAAGTGGAAATCTGATCTAAAAATTGATACTTGGAAGTGGTATGTTGCCGCAACAAAAGTCTAAACTATGTGGCCTTGGCCTTAGAACTGAGTGTCTTGCAGAAGCTGTAGGGGCAGAAAGTACAGGGTCATTGGAGCTTGGTAACTGAGAAGAAACTGCTCCTGGAGGTGATAAAGGACAAATCACATGTAGCAGTGAATTAAGTGGCAACACATCACATCCAGAAATTTAGAAGATAGAAAATGTACTTAATGAACCTGTGGACTTGGCTTAAGGAAATTTCCATCTAGAATGCTGTAGGGGTCAATTAGCTTTTCAAAAGTTATATATGATAGGGTGTAGGAAGACAAAGATGAAGGAAAGAATGAATGACTCCATTTTCAAGTGGAAGGCAAAGCAAATATGGAATGTTTGGGGTTGGGAAATAAAACTTTCACATTTCCAATCTCTCTAAAGAGAAGAAGATTTTCCAAGTAAGAAATGGCCTCAGGGTGCAAATCAAATCATAGGTGTGGCAATGAGACTTTAAGACCCCAGATGGATTTAAAATGATGTCTACTAGATTCTCTCAGATACACAAATGGGCTTCTAAGAATTTTAAGGGCATTTTTTCCACAGTGCTCTGTTAGGCTGACATTATATAGGCCTATCTCAAAAGTAATTGTAGGTAGGTTTGTGGACTATAACCTGCTACATAGAAATCCCACAAAATTTACAGTGGAATTGTACCAGTTTAGACTAAGCGGTGCACAAGAGATTCAAGAGTAAAAGAGACAGGAAGTAAGCTGAGAATGTTACTTAAATGCAAACACAGCCTGCTGTTTCTTAAAGCAATGCCATCTCAGAGGGCAGAGCTACTTCCAGAGAGCAAAACCAAGCTCTGTTGATGACCACTCCTTATACCCAGTGTAGGAGGCTTTGAACACAGGCATGGTTGGATTTCAAAAGAGCTATGGGTCAGTGATGACTATATGGCTCCCTGCGTTCCTCTTTTTTAAATTGGAGTATCTATTGAGTGTGCGAGTCTCACAATTGTATCATGGATATGTGTTGAGGACCAGAGGAGAATTGAGGCCTAATTGGCCTCCTCTGTGAGCACAGAGGAGCAAGGCTACACTCAGGGGTGATTGGATATTAGGGAAAATGTAAGACAGCTAAGGTTGAGTTGTTTACCAGAGAGTGTACCAATGGATACTGGAAACCAGATGGATGCTGTGTTACCTTGATTGCTTGTGCCTGTGTTTGGGTGAATAAAAGTGAGGCGAGCCAAAGGCTTAGATTCCTCTACCCGCTAGAGGTACAAGCCCTCTGATTGCCCGCAGGTGAATCTGACTCTGTGTCTCTTTGTCACTCATCCTAATTCTCCCGGGTCAGGGAGAACAAAGTAGCAGGTCTAGGTCCCGGAGCAAGGCTGGCTGGGTGAGTGGGCAGCAGGTGGTGCCCCAGTGTGGGGCTTGGGACCCAGGCTCACCTACAGGTATGAATGTGGAGATGACTTACTTTTCAGTTACTGAATGATGAGAACCCACACCTGGGGAGGTGCATAAGAAGTTGTACCAAAGAAGCCTCCACTACGTCTGGACTCCACAGATAAGGAAAATTCTGGACTTATAGTTTGATGTCAAGACTGGGTAAGATCTTTGGTGGTTTGGGGAGGGGTGAGTATATTTTGCCACTGGGAGAGAGATGAATTCCTGAGGCCAGAAAGAAGATTTTGTTCTAATTATGATCTTCAATGAATGAAGCCTCACCTATGGTTCCCATGCCTTTGGGTAGCCCCCTCCCACAGTGATTCTGGGCTGACTGTATGAGTTGCTTTAGTAAATAGGACATTTGCACATGTGGTGCAAGCCAAAGCATGGAAATACTCCCACTCTGGGTCTTGTCCTTCCGGAAGCTTCCCTATGATCACTGTGCTGTGAAGGTTATGAAAGACTGTGTGGAGAGAGAGACAGACCCTGTTGGCTGAAGCTATCTTTATTTAACCCTATCCCCAGGTAACCCACCGGCCAAATGGAGCTTTGTGTGTGAGCTCATGCAAGACCCATGCGAGAACAGCCAGATGACCCACAGAATCATGTGACATAATGAAATGTTTTAAGCCAGTAATTTTGGGGGTGGTTTACTATGCAATAACAGCTGATATAGGTGTTGGTTGTTAAGCATCCAGGTATGTCTAATAAATGGGAGAATAAGAGGATGCTGTACACAAATGGGTTATCCAGATTGCTAAAATTTACTGATACTCTCCCTTGACAACTTTGTATAAAGAACGAAGAAAAGATAGAGAAGTAAGGACAAGGGTCTCAGAGCTATAGGTAAAGATGCTGAATAATGAATGGGCAAATTGTTGGTGAACATGTGATAGAATGTAATAAAAATGGGTTGTGAACAGGAAGACCTAGTGCAAATTCTAATTCTATAAGTTAATTTTGGGCAAGTAATCTGACTTCTCAGAGTCTTTGTGTCTGTACTTGTGAAATGGGGATTCTATTGTCTATTTTGTGGGGGTTACAATCAATTAACTGAGATAATATGTAAAAATATGCTGCATGATGCTGGGTACATAGCAAGTGTCATCCATGTGTTGATCTCTTTTTACTTGGGTTTGCTCTGTTCACCATGTAACATTTTCTGGAGGAGTCCAATGGAAACTTGGTTGTGAGGATCAGGGAAACTAGGTCCCTGGTCATAGGGGTAGGGATCTATAAAACAACTTGAGGGACAGGGCAGAAATTGAGTTGATTTCTCTTCAGGCCCCTCACATCTGCTTTGATTTGGCTTTTACCACATTGTGTATTATATCCATCTTTGGAACACTCTTCCTACTTGTCAGAATACTTTGTCTTTACTCCTGTTTCTTTATGGTCTTGCTGAAGAATCTTTGTCTTTTACTTTTATGTTAAAATATAAAGTTTATCCAGAAGTAGAGGTAGAGACATGTCTCTGATGTAACCCAAGACAAAGAAAGGAAGGTACCCATTTTGCGAGGAAATGATGGATGGTTACTTCCGGCTCTGGATGTGGCCAACCCAGGCAAAGGCGATGTTTTTGTCACTTAGGTGGGATGATTTTAAAATAGTAAGCAGAAGATCTAATTGGACACTGCACTCCATACTTCTCTGGAACCAGGTGCTGGAGGAACTTGTGGGCAGTTGGAAAGGCAGCAGGGATGCAAATGAAGTTCCAATTGCTTATTGGCCTCCCAGATAGTTTGCAATAGGAAGAGGTGATCACTGTGGTGCATTGGGAAAGCTGTTAATTCACCTTGAAACATAAAATGCTAGAGGAGAAGAAAAGTTGGAGATCTTCCAGGAAAGAGGATAAGAAAATTCCCTTACGGGAATTCATCCCTTATTGAGGTTCTCAAAATGTAGATGACCCATGGGAGACAGGGGGACATTTTATTCAATCTATTCCTCCCCTGATCTACTTGCTGATTTTCCACTGATATTGGCATGAAAGTCTTTGGTTTTCTTCTGTTGGATCTGTTTATTTCCATTTGCTCATGGTTTTAATGAATCAGGTACTGTGCTAGGTATTTTATTTGTATTTTTTATAGAGTCCTCACAACTACCCCTACATTGGAAATATTATTTCTTCTGCTTAATAAATGATTTGGACTTCGAGATTTGAAAGCAGGTCCGCCTGACTTTAAGGATTTCCATTCCTTCATTCACTGCAACAGGCAGCCTCAGAGTCTTTAACTCAAGAACAACTGCATTGATCTTTGGGATAACAAGTCTCTGCTGATTGGGCACTGGTATTACTTTCTTATGCAACACTGTTGATTACAAAGTAGCTTCAGAATTCTTGCCACAAGAACTGCTCCAGTTCTGCTTTAGTTGGGGAATAATTTTTTTATTCATGAAATTTATCTGGTTAAACTCCCCCGCCTCTTGTTTTAAGGGATAGTATTTCTCTATCAAATCATAATTGTCACTTTGTTTGGGCCTTTCACTTGAATATGTTTCATAAAGAAGTTTCAGATTTTTTCCTGAGTAATATTTTCTGTGAGGAACAGGTTGAATTTAGGTACAAGGCTGGACTATTGACAATATTTCACTCTTTATGATGTGTTGGAAAAATCTTTCAGGTACGCTAAGATTGCTTATACATTAATTGAACTTTCTTTGGTCTTTGTGCATAAAAAATTAGTAATGAATTGGTGTGTCTTTAGGATTTATCAGGAGACAATCCATACAAATTAAGTAACAATAAAAGGAATGATATGCAGAGATACAGGCAGGGTTGAGAAAATTCTGCAGAGGGTGATGTAGTACCTCTGGCTAACAATAGCAGAGAGAGCCTGCTTGGTGAAGGATTACTGGAAGATTGTGTAACTCTATGCAGAATGGTGCCTAACGTGAGCTATATCCTTTGGTTAAGGGATGCCACCAGCATGGTGGGCTGGAAAGTAAGGAGCTGGAGGGAGAGAGACTCTTAACTCCCTATTTTCCTTCCTCTTATCTCCTGTTACTGCCTCCCATTGGCTGAACTCCTCTAGAAAGAAGAGGGTGGGAAGGTTGATGCATCTCCTAGGAGTATGCCTCCTGAGGGCACAGATAGGGTGCACAGTGGTGGAGAGGGCTTAGAAGGGTGAAGCAGAATATTCAGTGCAGCTGGGCTGCAAGATTTGATAACTAATGCTTAGATATCCTCTGAGTTTAAACCACAAACGCTTTCTGGGAATAGTCTGATAACTAATCAGGTAATAATTCCAGGGTTTAAAAAACTGAACTGTGTTCTTCCACTGCTTCCTCCAATTCTTCTTTTTAATTTGTATCTTAATGATTTGAAACAATTTGTGCATGATGTAGCTGCATGCACCCTTATTATAAGAAGTATAAAAATAACTATTCTCTATGCTGGTGATATAATTTTATTGGTACTAACCAGAAATGGCCTCTTTATCTTACTGGAAAATAAGAGTGGCTTGAATTCAAATTTTTGAAATCCAAAATCATCAATTTTGACAGATAATGTTTGCAATTTAATTGGTTTCTATCCGGAGATTATATATATCACCCTAACTTTTTCAGCTACTTCAGGGTACATTTTGTAACCATTTTTCTGTGGTGGTTTCACGAGAAAAGGATGCTACTTAAAAATAGACATTTCTTGGATGCATTATTGACATTTGTTTATTTCTGGAGCCCGAGGGATTAGTAAAATCTATTTCAATTTTTTTCCAGGTATAAAGCATATAGCATTTGTGTCTTCTCAGTAAATATAGGTTGAATGAAAGAGTGAGGGAATAAACTTACTATCTTTGATTTTATCTTCCTTTCCCATAATTTTTCTTTTTTGGTACTAGGGATAGAACTTGGGTCCTTGTGCTTGCGCAGCAGGTGGCGAAACCACTGAGCTAAATCCCCAGCCCTCCCATAATTTTTTTTTGAGGAAACAATTTTCAGGAAAGTGTCTGAAGAAAAATCTCGGTACTGCTAGCAGGACTCAGCAAAAAACCTCCACACACATGAGGGTGGCTAGGTATTTGAGTCTTGGTGAGGGGCCTTCATTTTCTTTAAAGGAGATGAACCTATCTCCTGCTTTGTTGATTTTCACGGTATATGGATTATACTTTATTAGCAGTGTGGATTTCAGGCAGTTATATTCTTTTTTAAAGAAATTTTATTAGTACATTTTAGGTATACAATATAATGACATTCATCATTGGAAATTTGCACCTTTACATAATCTCTCTTGGTTCTTATTTTTTCCCCATT